GGGGTCTGGATCAGTCCCATGCTGGCCTCCCAGCTGTCAGTCTGGGGTCCAAGAGCTCTCCCCTGTTCGTATCAACTGTCTCTGCTGGTTTTGCCAGCCCATTCTTTGCCAATTTGCTCATCGCTCCTCTCTCTCTGTCGTTGGGTTCCGTGGGTTCTGTTCAGTATTTAACTGTGGGTGTTTGCCTCTGCTTCCATCAGTCACTGGATGAAAGCTCCAAGCTGGTTATAGACATCAAGTTCACTATCAGGAATAGGCATTCGAGGTGGTCTCTACACTATTGCTGAGCTTGCCAATTAGTGTCATCTGTTTAGATCACTAGAGGTCACAATGATGCCTGATCTGTCTTCTAACCTATGATTCCCTCTTCCCCCTGTCCTACCCTCCCAGTCAACCTTCCTGTTCCTCCATGTCCTACTCTCTCTTCCACTTCTCCCCCCCTCTAATTCCCAGGTCGCCCTCCCCTCCACCCTTTGCCGTGTTCCCCATCTGTTCAGAGGATCTTGCCTCATTTCTCTTCTCTTGGGTACCATGCATATATTTAGGTTCTTTCCTGTTTCCCAGACTCTCTGTCAGTGGAAGTGCAGACTGGCATTCTCGTGATCCGTGTCTAAAATCCATATATGAGTGAGTACATACCATATGTGTCTTTTTGTGACTGGGTTACCTCGCTCAGGATGGTTTCTTCCAGTGCTATCCATTTGCCTTCGAATTTCAAGATTCCATTGTTTCTTTCTGCTGAGTAATACTCCATTGTGTAAATGTACCACATTTTCTCTATCCACTGTTCAGTTGAGGAACATCTAGGTTGCTTCCAGGTTCTGGCTATTACAAATAATGCTGCTATGAACATAGTGGATCAGATGCCCTTGTTGTATTAATTTGCCTCCTTTGAATATAAGCCTAAGAGTGGAATTGCTAGGTCTTGTGGTAGATTGATTCCCATTTTCCTGAGGAATCTCCATGCTGCTTTCCAAAATGGCTGTATGAGTTGTCACTCCCACTAGCAGTGGAGAAATGTTCCCCTCTCTCCACATCCTCTCCAGCATAAATTTTCTTCGGTATTTTGGATTTTAGCCATTCTGACAGGAGTAACATGGTATCTCAAAGTTGTTTTGATTTGCATTTCCCTGATGGCTAAGGATGTTGAGCATTTTCTTAAGTGTCTCTTGGCCATTTTAGCCTCCTCTATTGAGAATTCTCTGTTTAGTTCTGTACCCCACCTTTTGATTGGATCCTTTGGTGTTTTGGAGACTTTCTTCTTGAGTTCTTTGTAAATTTTGGAGATTAGCCCTCTGTCAGATGTGGGGTCAGTGAATATCTTTTCCCATTCTGTGGACTGCCTTTCTGTCTTGTTGACTGTGTCCTTTACCTTACAGAAGCTTTTTAGTTTCAGGAGGTCCCATTTGTTAATTGTCGATCTCAGTGCCTGTGCCACTGGTGTTATGTTTAGGAATTGGTCTCCTGTACCAACTCGTTGAAGAGTATCTCCCACTTTCTCTTCCAAAAGTTTCAGTGTGGCTGGATTTATGTTGAGATCTTTGATCCATTTGGACTTAAGTTTTGCACAAGGCCATAAACATGGATCTATCTGCAGTCTTCTGCATACCAGTACCCAGTTATGCCAGCACAATTTGTTGAAGATGCTTTCTTTTTTACATTGTATAGTTTTAGCTTCGTTGTCAAAAATCAAATGTTCATAGGTGTGTGGGTTAAAATCAGGGTTTTCAATTCGGTTCCATTGGTCTACCTGCCTATTTTTGTGCTAATACCGCACTGTTTTCAGGACTATAGCTCTATAATAGAGCTTGAAGTCAGGTATGGTGATGCCTCCTGAAGTTCATACTCTGGTTTCTCTTCAGATGGGTTTTATGTCTGGAGCAGGTTTTATGTCGGCTCTCATCTTGCACAAGGCAGGCATAGCTACACGAACTTGGCCATTGCGTGCTACTCTGAAGACTAAATTCATAGAAATCTCCATGATTTCTATGATATTGCTGATCTATAATTCTGCATCATACACATTGTGGGAGTGCTAAACTACTTTACTATTCTCTGTAAGGACACTGTCTGCAAGGCTCTGTTTAATGTATTGGGGGCACTTGCTCTCCTGGGGATAATGTGGCTTGTGATTTCTCTGAGAGTGAATTCTATTAAGAATCTTGGGAATAAGGACAATAGAGGACTATGACCACTGGCTTGTATTCAGTCTTCTTCATTTGTCCTACAATTTACTCAAAACATGGTGATTCTCTCTGTGGGTCTCTGCAAATGCTGCGACTAGAAGTGGAACTATTTCTATGAGAAGAAAGAAATCCAGTTCAGCACAGCTTAACTCCCAATGTTGGTTTAAACTACTAGCATGATGATGACCATTTTACTGTAAACATAAACATGGTATAATTTGGAGAAAATTACTGGTGTAATGCCATCCTCTCTGCACAAGGAGGCATCATTATATCAAACCTCCACTCAAAATGCAAGTCACTTCTTTCAAGAAGGTAGGTTCTACAGATAGGTTCCATGTACTGTCTTCAGGCCAAGGAAAGTCTTGGTATGGTCTAAGACATTCAGACAGCCCAGAGGTCATTTGAGCTGTTAATTACCACAGGTCTTATTTGTGGTTGCTTGGGGGTAGTTCCTGCCTACACAGATAACGCCAGTTAGTCACCTAATTTCCTGCTTGTGGGAGCTTGATATAGCCTGAAACTGAGGTTGTAAGGCAAAGAACATAGTCAACAAGACAAAAAAGGCAGCCCACAGAATGGGAAAATGTATTCACCAACCCCACTTCTGACAGAGGGCTGATATCCAAAATTTACAAAGGACTCAAGAAGCAAGTCTCCAAAACACTAAGGGATCCAATTAAAAAGTGGGCTATAGAACTAAATAGAGAATTCTCAATAGAGGAGTCTAAAATGGCTGAGAGACACTTGAGATAATGCTCAACATCCTTAGCCATCAGGGAAATGCAAATCAAAACAACTCTGAGATACCATCTTACTCCTGTCAGATTGACTTAAATCAAACAGAAATGACAGTTTACACTGGAGAGGATCTAGAGAAAGGGGAATATTCCTCCACTGTTGGTGGGAGTGCCAACCTATACAGACACTTTGAAAATCAGCATGGAGATTCCTCATGAAAATGGGAATCAGTCTACCACAATACCCAGTAATTCCACTCTCTGGCATATATACAAAAGATGCCCATTCATACAACAAGGACATCTACTCCACTATGTTCATAGCGGCATTATTTATAATATCCTGAACCTGCAAGCAACCTAGATGCCCCTCAACTGAAGAGTGGATAGAGAAAATGTGGTACATTTACACAATGGAGTACTACTCAGAGGAGAAAAGCAATGGAATCTTGAAATTCGCAGGCAAATGGATGGCACTACAAGAAACCATCCTAAGAGAGGTAACCCAGTCACAAAAAGACAAACATGTTATGTACTCACTCATATATGGATTTTAGACATGGATCAGGGGAGTGCTAGCCTACAATACAACTGCCAGAGAGTCTGGGATACAGAATGGGCCCTAAGAGACATATGTATGGTACCCCAGAGAAGGGGAATGAGCAGATTGGGAGCATGGGGGGAGGGAGAGGGAGCCAGGGAAAGACAGGGGGAAAAGAGTAGAGGAGGACATGGGGAAGGAGGGAGGTTGAGTTGGGGGAAGAATAGAGGAGAACAGGATGAGAGATACCATAATAGAGGGAGTCATTATAGGCTTGAGTAAAGATCTGGCACTAGTGAGATTTCCAGAGATCTACAAGGATTATACTAACTGGAAAACTAAGCAATAGTGGAGAGACTACCTTCAATGACCCTACCCGATATTGAGTTTGAGGACTGCCTTATGTGCCATCCTAGAACCTTCATCCAGTGACTGATGGAAGCAGAGGCAGACACCCACTGCTAAACACTGAGCTGAACTCCTGGTACCCAGTGACAGAGAGTGAGGAGTGATGAGCAAAGTGGTCAAGACTGGGATGGTGAAACCTACATAAACAACTGAACAAGGGGGATATCCTAGACCCCAGACAGATGTCTAAGAGGCCAGAATGGGACTGATCCAGACCCACTGAAGGTGAGTGTCTACAAGCAGGCCTAGGCAATCTATGGGGCTTTGTGTAGTAGATCAGTGTTTATCCATGGTATACAAATGGAATTTAGGTGCCCATCCCACAATGAGGGATGCTTGCTCAGCCTGGACTCTTGAAGAAGGACCTAGGCCCTGCCCTGAATGAAATGACAGACTCTGGAGTTACCCCATGGAGGGAGGGCCTCGGCCTCCCTGGGGAATGGATGGGGGATTGGACTGGGGTTTGGGGACTGGTGGGGGACAGAGTAGGAGGGGAGGAAGAGGGACGTGGGATTGACATGTGAAGCAAGCTTGTATCTAATTTAAATAAAAAAGTTTCAAAGAACTAAAGATTGCAATGGTATGTACGATTATCAAAAAATAGCCAACAACCAGAAATAGAGGCACACGTTTGCAACCCTACACTGGTGACTATGATGAGATGTGCTATAAATTTCATTCTACGCATGTGTAGAAATTAATACCCTTCTGAAACATAGTAAATTTTGAAAAGGAGGAAGTATTGCAAATGAAAATGTGAAAAAGCAATGAAGAAAAACCGCATTTCAATTTGTAATTGTTATTTGAAATATTCATATATACCTGATACTATGTGGACTTGAGTATGCTGCGAACAGATGAGGCTGGCATTTTGAGGTTTGTGGAAATATTATCTATGTAAGAATTGATTGCTGAGTTATAGTTCCTCGCTTAGACACAGGACTGGCCATGTCAAAGCCAGGCGACACACATACCCCTTATTGCGGGACTGTAAGTACAACCATGCCTTGAGGAACATGAGGAAGTCCTGCCTCCAGAGGCCACACCCTAGTTTCCTATCCCTCCAGGCAGTAACTGTAGCTCTACCTTTAAGAACATTTGCAGCCTCCAGGAGGAGATACAACGATGTTCACCTTCATAGCGCTACTCGTCCTGGGTGAGATGGGGCGATGTGGAGGGGATACTGTAGGCTAGGTACCCTGTTCTATAGCCCAGCAGTGACCCATCAGGAAATCCCAGGGTCTCAGGAGGTTCTGCTAAAGGGAGAATATGAGGCTTCAGGGAAAACCATCTCACAGGTAACTCTCTTCCAGGGCTGACTCCTGTCCATGAGACATCATTGCTGGCAGGTGAGTGGTTGCCACTGTCCTGTCCTGTTGTACCTATAGTACCCAGAAGCCAGGCCAGGACAATGAGGATGGGAAACAAGGCCTGTGTGCTGGTCCTTGGTTTGTATATAAGGTCATGTGGTTGACACCTTCAATCTGAGAATGTTTAATCCTAGATGTCATTTTCCTTGCAGGGACACTCCCGAAGCCTATCCTCAGAGTACAGCCAGACTCTGTGGTTGCCAGGCAGACTAATGTGACCTTCATGTGTGAGGGGATCACAGGAACGAAAGAGTATAATATCTCCAAAGATGATGGTAACTACACACAGTTCATACAGTTTCTACAAAAGTCTCAAAATACGGCTGAATTCTCCATCTCAAAAATTGAGGAGCATCACGCAGGGCAATATCATTGTTGCTATAAGACCCATGATGGAAAATCAGAGTGCAGTGACTCCATGGAGCTGGTGGTGACAGGTGAGAGGACAAAGCCCTTCCTACCCTCAGGCTTCACTGTCAAAAGTGAGCCTGTTCTTAGGAGGGGAGGGAACACTTCACAGCCCTGGAGGAAAATGAGACCTGACAGATTTAACTGAATCCTGTTTCTCTTCCAGGAGCCTACAATAAACCCAGTCTGTCAGTCCAGCCCAGCCCGATAATCACTGAAGGAGGGAATGCCACTTTACTGTGTGACTCAGGGCAGAAATGTCACAGACTCATTCTGACTATGGAAGGACCACAGAAGCGATCCTGGATGCTGGACCCACAGTATAACAACTCTATTAAGCATTTCCAGGCCCTGTTCTCTGTGGGTCCTATAACCTCCCGCCAAAGGTGGACATTCAGATGCCACAGCTTTCACAGAAATAGAACACAGGTGTGGTCAGAACCTAGTGACATCCTGGAGCTCGTGGTCTCAGGTGAGGAAGCAAAAACTTTCCACAGAATGATGTTGACGTGATACAGGTCCTGAGGGTGGGCCTGGTAGGTGATGTGTGTGAGGAGGCAGGGCCCTTCAGTCTTGACACAGATCATTGGAGACTGAGGGATCCAAGATACAAAATCCAAGAGAGAAAGTAGCAGAAAAACCCAGGATGTCCAGGACAGATTTAAATCTTCATGGGACTTTATGCTACTCAGCACCAGCTGAAGTGCCATCTATACGCGTGACATCAACTGTGCTACTATCAAGCAAAACCATGTCCTTCTCTCCTACTTTTTGCAGGGACCCTCCCCAAGCCCATCATCAAAGCTGAGCCAGGCACTGTGATTGCCTACAAAAGCTCTGTGACCATCTGGTGTCAGGGGAGACTGGACGCACAACTGTATGTTCTGCATAAGCAGGGAAGCCCAAAACTCTGGGGCACAGAGTCCACAGAGGAGTTTGGGGAAAAGGCCAAATTCTTCATCCCTTCTGTGACAAAGGAACATGTAGGACAATATCAGTGTTACTGTTATACCTCAGCTGGCTGGTCAGAGCACAGTGACACCCTGGAGATTGTGGTTACAGGTAAGGGAACAGTCAGATTCTCAGAGCTAGGCTCTGCCCTCAGCATTCCCTCCTCACAGTCTAGCCCTGCGTAACATTTTGGATGTGAACCCATGTGAAAGGCTTTGTTCTTTTCATATAGGATTCCTCCCCAGTAAACCAAGACTATCAGCACTGTCAGGGCCTGTGGCAACCTCAGGAGGAAGCATGACTCTCCAGTGTGTCTCCGAGCATAGATATGATACGTTCATTGTCACCAAAGAACATGAGAAGTTCTCCAGTTCCCTGGACTCACAGTATATACACACTAATGGTCACTTCCAAGCCACATTCTCTATGAGTCCTGTTACACCAGCCTACAGAGCGAAATTCAGATGTAATGGTTACTACAAGCATATCCCAAAGCTGTGGTCAGTATCCAGTGATCCATTGGAAATACAAATCTCAGGTGAGATATCCCCATCATTGGCCAATCTTGATGAGGTACTAATCTCTTCCAGGTATTGAAACCAGGTGAGGTTGTTACGAGAGAGTGACTAAAGAAAGAATCTACTGTCTAAGCCAGATCCCCACAGCCAGAAAGAAACAGTGACACATGCAGGGTGGGAGGGGAGCTGATATGTGTTTTGTTAAAAGCTGCTCCTTAGACAATAGCCTGTCACCTTTCTTATAGGGCTGTCAAAGAAGCCGTCTTTGCTAACTCATCATGGTAGTATCTTGGATCCTGGGAAGTATCTCACTCTGCAGTGTTGCTCTGACATGGACTATAGCAGATTTTTTCTGCACAAGTTGGGGGAAGCTCACTTCATCCAGAAGAATGGCCAGAGGACCCGGGCTGGCCTCTCCTTGGCCAACTTCACACTGGGCTCTAGGAACAGCTCTACTGGAGGCCAATACAGATGCTATGGTGCACACAACCTCTCCTCTGAGTGGTCAGCCTCCAGTGACCCCCTAGACATCAGGGTCACAGGTGAGGAAACACTTAGATTTCAGCAGATCACAGCCCCTGCATAGCCTTTCATGGGGAGCCTGAGAGGTGATGGCTAGGACAAGGGATGGAGAAGTCATGTAGAGATGGGAAAGGAGAAGGGGAATTCAGTCAGAGAAGACAGACAGAGTCCAAGGTGCTCAGGAAAGATCCAGGTGAAACCTTGGTGAGGGCAATAAAGGTGGCCTCTCATCATCCTCCCTCTTCTCTTTAGGACAGCTTCCGTTCACTCCTGTCCTCTCAGTGAAGCCTAAGTCAACAGTGCATCCAGGACAAAATGTGACCTTTCTATGTTGGTCAACATACCCAACTGACACTTTCATTCTGCACAAGGAGGGAAAAAACCATCTACTCAAACAACTAAAATCAAAGTTTCAAGATCGTCGTTTCCAGGCAGAATTGTCCATTATTGGTGTGACCTCTGCCCTCTCAGGAAAGTACAGGTGCTACAGTTCTCTTGAGTCATCTCCCTACCTGCTGTCACATGGCAGTGCCCCTGTGGAGATCACTGTCTCAGGTGAGGTGATCCTGACTTCTCAGAGTGACTTAAAATACAAACCCTAGAAGAGCTCTTGACTGGAGTGAGATTATGGGGACAACAGGAAGGGTTACTCAGAAGGCACTTTCCCTGGCAGAGAAGTGGATGGCAACAGGGTCCTTTGAACATTGTCCACTTCGTGTTTTGCTGTTCCCTGGGATTCTGGTAGACAGCATGAGGATCCTGGGGATGTTACAGTGCAGATATAGGACAGTGATTAGAGTTGGGATCCCTGGGTTATCATCAAACCCTCATCCTCTCCTTGTTCTGTTTCCTAGAACAAACGAAAGCCTCCAGCCTTCCACCCTTCAAGCCCATGGGAGCCTCCAGCCTTCCACCATTAAAGCCCATGGAAGCCTCCAGCCTTCCACCCTTCAAGCCCGGGCAAACAGCTGGTAAGTATCAGGCACCCCTGTGGAGGAAGTTTGCTTCATTACCAGTCTGCTTCACAGCTCTTATCTTACTGGAGTCCTCGTTTATTGAATATTTCCGCTTTTGAGTGCAAATTACAATTCCCATCACAGACGTGAGAAGCCCAGGGATTAGTTTAGTCTACAGAAGAGGACATCCAGAGAATGATGTTGAGGCTCAAACTTGAAAATGAGGGAGGAGGGTTAGGTGGAGAACAGGGCACCCAGACACTCACCTCCACATCCTGCCAAGATGACTCTGAAAATAAACTTCTCACCTGTATGGAATTCAACTCCAGAGGGTTAGTAATGATTGTGTTAAATGGTGGTGGTCAAATGGGCAATAGACAGTTATGGACTTGATACATCTGATTCTGGAGATGGTGGCAGGGACAATCCCTTCACCTTCTGAGCTGGTTGTTGTTTCTCTGAGCGTAAGAGGAAAAGCCATGCCTACATCATTAATTTTTTTTATGTTCTGGCTTTGGTTATGCCCCATCCAGACAGAGAAGGACTCTTAAGGACCCGATTCTCCAGTGTCCCACAGTGGTGGTGGCATGTGCAAGGGTTGGGAACAGTACCATGGTAGTAGTCTCCTTTCATTCATCTCATGTGGCACAGCTTTAGTGGGGAGAACATTGCTGTGAGCCTGAATCCCTTGGTTCAAATCCAAGCTCTGTCACTTCCAAGTAGGGTCAAATGAACTGACTTGATAGAGAAACAGACAATTCCATGTCACATCACTGTGGGGAGGGGAGACGATGAGTTAAAAGATCCAACATGGTCCTGGTACAAGTAGTTGCTCAGGTAAGTATCAACTGTCCCACTCATGATGTCACTTTTGCTTCAGGACTTGAAAGTTATCTGAAAGTTCTGGTTGGCGTGTCTGCGGCCTTCCCCCTGTTCCTATTCATCCTCATTTTCCTCCTTCTCAGACGAAGGCAACAGGGCAAAGTCAGGAAGCAAGGTGAGTGGCCTGGGACTCAGACAGTTGTTCATTCCCCTGTGGAATATAATTCTATATTCAAGCATGGGATCAGGACATTAAGACAAGTGTAGAAACTCTTGCAAATCTTAGATCAGAAAGCACATGATATCTGATACCGTGAGATTTTAGTTGTTCTGTGGGATTGACCATATCCTGGGACATTTGCCAACTCATCCATGTGCTATAAAGACCTCTTCCTTCCTTGCCTAAGACTGCCTGGGTGAAGAGCTCTCTATGCTCCTACAACAGACACTGTTTTTCTTTTTCAGCTCAGAAAGAGACAGAACTGCAACTTCCTGCAGGAGCTGCAGAACCAGTAGCCAGGTCAGAGACTCCCAGAAGAGGTAACCCATTGTCAGAGACATACCCCCACCTACCTGGCACAATTTGTTGCCAATTGACATCTTCTTTTCTCTCCAGATCAAACCTAGATGCCACCACCCAGGAAGAAATCATTTGTGAGAAAAAGAGGGTCCCGGGGATGGAGAGGTTTGAGGACTCAGTGTTACAGGGGTGGTGGAGGGGCTCTGGGGTCTTTGCTGTTTGGTCTTCACCTCACACTATAAACTCAAAGACATCAAAACATGCCCTGTTCTCCATTCCCACTTGGGACACTGCAGGAAACTAGGGATCTGGGTTTTCCCTAGATCTTACCCCCAAACAATGTTTGTTCTTCTATGACAGATGTTTTGATGGAGAACACAAAGCCTGAGCTTGGCGTGGAAATGAACAATTCGGTGAGGTCCCTGTCCCTATCTACAGTACTAAGAACTTAGGGCCCAAGTGGTCCAGGAGTTATTATTTACATCCACAGCTGCCAACTCCCTTCTGTGAGCACCATCTGCTTCCTATGTGCTTTGGCTTCTGGCTCTCCTGGGAGCAGGTGTTTCCTCCCTCATGACCCCTGTCTGGCCCCTCAGCATCTGTCTGGTTGTACATATGCACCCAGGAACCCAGAGATCACAGGAATAAATAAATATTGATTCACCCATACCCTCTACTCACACAAATGTAACAAGAATCTTCTTCCTTACCAGGCTTCCTGAATGGATTACAGTTAGAGCCAAGAGCACACTTCCTAACCAGCATTAGGCAACTTGGCAATAAATGCAGACAAACAAAGCATATCACAGGGTGAAGTGTTTGGGAAAAGAAAGGGTCAGTGCGAATTACAAGGGAGTGCCCGGAAAGGTGTCTTCTGAAGATGAAACCCACATGGAAAAGTCCAAGTTACATCTGAATTAAGATCAACTGTGGACAGGGGACACAGCAGGACAAAGTAAATTGGGCAGAAATATGAGGTTTAGTTTTGTAGGTCATTTATGTGTATGGGTGTTTGGCCTGCATGTATATCTGTATAGAACATGTCTCCCTGGTGCCACAGAGTCCAGAAGAGCATGTATGATTCTGTGGAACTGGAATTACATATGAGCATAAGTCATCGTGTGGGCAGTGGAAACTGAACCCGGAACCTTTTCAAGTGCAGTCTGTGCTCTTAACTACTGAACCATCTCTCCAGCCCCTAGAATCATTTCTGGAAGCTGGATTGTGTGGCTGGAGTCAAGACAACAAAGTTTAGAGTGTCAGGATAAGAGATCAGAACTGTAGTATGTTCAGTCTGTTCATGCTGTGGAAAACTGGCCAGTTGGGATCCCCAGTCAGACAATATCTATACCTCTTTATTTCTCTGCTACAGAGACCAGCTGAGATAGGCCTACTGGAACATGTATATGCCAATGTGAAAACCCCCAGGCTCAGGAGGGGTGGAGCTGTCCTACCTTCTGTCGTGTCAGGAGAATTCTTGGACACCAAAGAAGGCCAATCTGAAGATGGCAGATAGATGGACACACAGGTGCTTCCTGTTCCTCCCTAGCCCTGCAATTTCCCCCAAGCCATATAACTTCCCTTTGATCTCTCCTCCTTCAGGCTGTAAACTCTGAAGAGCCTCAGGATGTGACCTATGTCCAGGCCTTCCGCATGACACCCAGACAGGAGACAGCTGTATCTCCTCCCTCCCAGGCAGGGGAGGTCCCAGAAGAGTCAGCATATATATTGCTCTGGCAGTCATTAATCCAGTGCCATTCCCAAGAACAAAAATGAATGACTCTCTGCTTGCAAGAATGCTACACAGAGACCTGTATGCGATTGTGGCAGTTTTGGGAACCTGCCTGCAATTTAACTAACTTCACTCATTTTGGAAATAAAGCAGATGATTTTTTACTTAGCAAGTGAAATGTGATTAAATATAGAGGGTGCTTAAATTGACTAACAATTTTAATGACATTACTCATCAAAAACTATGAAGCAGAAAAATTTACATGCATATTTCCACAGGCCCATAATCCCATCCCAAGGGAGGCTGAGGCAGGGGAATTGCCTTTGTTTTGTTGTCACCTTTTTGTTTTTAATTTTTTATTTTTAAATTTAAATTTAAATTAGAAACAAGGTTGCTTCACATGTTAATTACAGGTCCCTCTCCCTTTCCCTCCCCTCCTCCCGTGCCCTCCCACCAACCCCTCCAATATCCCCTCATTTCCCCAGGGAGGGTGAGGCCCACCATGGGGGTGCCCATATTCTGTTATTTCATCTAGGGCAGGGCCTAGTGTTGTCATCTTTTTATACCCAGTGAATTCCATGCTATCTTGAGGTACAGAGTTGAACATTGTTCAAGCATTAGTCATCAAAGGCAAAAATGTGTTTGTACCCACCCTAAATCCTGGCACTTCGGAAGTTTTGACAGAAGGACCAGCTGGTCACCTTAATTAGTAGTCTTCAGCATAGGAGTTAGAGGCCTGGTTGGAGCACACTAGACTATTTAAAAGTGAATAAATAAATAAATAAATAAATAAATAAATAAATAGGGATGGATCAGTGATCAATACCTTTTATTTAAGCACTTAGCAGGTAGAAACTGCATAATTCTCAGACTCTGAGTCCAACCTGGCCCACATAGTAAGCTCAAGGAAAGCCAGTCATACATAGGCAATACCTGTCTCAAAAAATAAGTAAATCAGCTAAGGCCAAAGAAATATTTCAACAGGTAAGGTCACTTGGTAATAAGCCTGATATCCTAAGTTTAATCAGCTGAATACATATAGTTGAAGGAGAAAACTGAGTGTTGTTCCACATAACACTCCTTGGTGTGCTCCACATAACCAAAAAGTAAATAAGTAATTAAAAAACTGAAAATAAGTGCAAATAAAATCTGGGTTTGTTGTTGTAGACATTTAACCCCAATAATTCTCATCACACAAACAAGTAAATATAATATTACACGGGTGACAGAATTTAATAGATTGAGAGATAATGCCCTTTCCTGTGCATTTAGGTAATTGGTTTTTCCAATGGTATTATATTTGTCTGAAAAATTCCAGAGGTTCATGCCTTAGAGAGACTAATTCTCTGTTTTCTAGTGCTCATTAATTTACAGTAGTTGTCTGTATAAGCATGGTACACCATGAAACAGTTCCATTTCCATATTAATATGCTTTTATACTGCATTGTTCTGATCTTTTTCATCTCTAGAAAAAGAATCAAGCCTTCTCTTCAGTCATTTCTAGGAGAACTGATCTCATTGGTGACATCTTGGCTCTTCAGTCTTTGTTTCCTCTTTTGTGATGTTCCTTGGGTCACAGATTCCAGAGCTTTGAGGTAGATAAGTCTGTTGGTGCTAGAATACCCATAATATGTTGATCTCTGTATTGTGTATAGATGTGGCTTTCTGTGATTATCTCCAGTTGCCATGAAGATAGGCATTAATGATGATGGATTGATACTCTGATATAGACACAAACATCAACAGAAATCTGATTCAGAAGATTGTATTCACCTATATGAGCACACACATGTGCAAATATAGATTACTGATAAGCAAAGGAAAAGAAGTTATCATTTTGCGATTGGAGCACTTGAAATCTTAGAGGAATGACATCAGGGGGTGTCTAACCACAGAACATGAGGGGGGAAAGCGATATGATTCTTTCAATGAGAAACACATTTTAGAAAGATAGGAACTAAAACACATCAAGAGAGGATATCTCTTATCTCTGTGGAGCCTATGGTAAAGTCACTAATGTTTAATGAAGTCTATGAATTGATATAAAAACTTTAAATAGACTTTGTATCGGGGTTAATCATATGAAGACATGAAAGAGTAAAAGGCAGAAGTTGTCAATAGGATGCATGACCTGATGAGTGATGACATGGATATATATGGGAAGGGGGAAGAGATTCTTGGTGGATATTGCTACATGCGTATATCATTGAAAAGGAAGGAGAAAGAATATAAGAGGAAGAACATTGGGCAGGGCAGCAAATGTTATCTACTTTGCATAACACTGGCTTTGCAAATGTGAATGCTGTAGCCTGCCCTAGGTGTATAAAATACTGGGTCTGTCAGCAGTCAATTATGCGTCAGGTAAGGACACATAGAACTCTATCATGAGCTACTGAATAGTGATGTATTCTGGATAGAAGAGACTCTTTTCAGCTGTGCGACACCAATGAGCCCAGCATGTTCCTGTATTCCAAACATATGATCTTTGTCCTCCTTAGGGTTTGAATTGCTTTAAAATGGCACCATGACCTCTGCAAATCTTATAAATGAAATCATTTAATCAGAACTGGTTTAGAGTTCAGAGGATTAGTACAATATGAGCATAGGGAGAAGCATTGTTGCATGCAGACAGACGTGGTGTTGGAGATGTTCCCAAGTGTTTCTCATCTGCATCTGAAGGGTGCAGGAAGAGCCAATGGGCTGGTTTGGGCTTGAGCTTCTGAAACCATAAAATTCATATGAAACCGGGATAAGGTAATTGGTTTGGGCCAACAGAGGCCTTGTTGCTATCCTTGACCTGGACTACAGCAAAGGCCCATGATGGTGTCTGTTATTTCTGCTGTGACTGGAGTCTGTTTGGTTGTCCATGGTCTGGCCTCCTGTTAGAAGCCATGTTGATGTCAGTGTTCCTTGTTACCACCGAATACCATGTAACTGCCCATAGCTTGTGCTTTCACCGGCAATCATGTTGGTGTCTGTGGTCTATGTTGCCAGTGGAGGCCATGTTGATATCTGTAGCCTATTCTGCTGCTAAGGCCTGTGTTGATTCCCATTGTGGGCACTGCCACCAGAAGCTATGTGGAAGTCCATGACCAATGACTGTAAAGGAAAGCATGCTTGGCAGTGCTATTGATGACTGTAGACTCTCAGTTAAGAATCAGAGACAGAAGGGTTCTGTGATAACCTTTCCTTCCCATCTCCCTAACTGACTCCCCATCCTATACCTCAACCTCTCCAAGAAGAAACAGACTACACATATAGCTACTGAAATGAACTTTTTTTTTTAATCATTTTTTATTTTAATTTTAAATAGCTTGTTTCACATGTCAATCCCAGTTCCCTCTCCCTCCCCTCCTCCCGCACTCCCCTTCCACCCTCCCTCCCACCCTATTGCCAAATCCCTCCACATAGGGGATGTCTAGAGTCTATCATTTCACTCTTGGTAGGGTCAAGGCACTCCCCTAAGAGTCCAGGCTGAGAGAGCTTCTCTCTTTGTGCCATAGGCACATGAAGACAGATTGTATACCAGGGATAGACACTGATCCACAGCTCAGAGCCCCATAGGTTGCCCAGGCCTTCTCACTGACACTCACATTTGGGGGGTCCAGATCAGTCCCATTCTGGCCTCCCCACTGTCGGTCTGGGGTCCAAGAGCA